TCTCTCTCTCTCTCTCTCTCTCTCTCTCCTGCCCCCCCTCCCTCGCTCTCTCTCTCTCTCTCTCCCCGCCAGAGTAACACGTGCGTAATTTTTGTGCAGCGCTCGTATTTTCTCGCACGGAGACGCGCGCTCGCGCACGTATACACACGTAAGCGAAATTCGCGAGCGAGCGAACGAGCGAGCACGCGCGCGCGCGTGCCGTTGCGCAGTGCACAGAAGTAGTGGGAGAGCGCAGGGGAAGAGACGCGCGGTACTCGGCGCGCTGGTAGGGGTAGATGCCCGGCCGGTGCGCGCGCTCCGACCGGCAAGGCGATGCGTGTGCATCCCCAACGAGCCGCGGCTATCTCTATCGCCCGGCAACGTCGTATCGCACGCGATGCGCCCACGAACGAAACGCCGCGCCGCTCCGCGCCGCGCCGCGCCGCGCCGCGGCAACCCCGCGCGAGCCTTGGCTTACTCATCCCCGCGCGCTCTCGGAGCGCGCGCGCGGGAAATGGCCTCGCGAAATCTACTACGCCGCGGAGAAAAGGACCACGCCGCCCGCTTTGCCTCTCGCTGTACGTCACTGGCGTACTTTGCGTGCGTGACGTTTTTCGAGGCGACCTAACCTCCCTCCCCTTGCCGCCCCCCCGATCGAATTTCGCGATAGCGCGCTATCTCCATTACGCGTCACGCACAATGCGTGCGCGACGCGACACGACGCGTCGCACGGCTCGATAGCGGGCGCGAGTTTGCCTGTGTGCGATCTCGACGCGAAGGCGTGCTGGTCTTTTTCAAATTAAATCCCTCGCTGCCGGGAAGCGTCTCGAGCACCGTTATCATTTCATTATCGAACACCCTGTATATAGAACAATTAGACGCGCGCGTGAAAGTGATAAATCGCGGCGGCGGCGGCGGCGGCCGCACGTTAATAAATAATGTGGCTCTCGGCAACAATTTCTTGGACGGTCGCGAACGCTGACCGGCGTATGTTGTACGCGCTACCTCGCGCGCTTTGTATGTACATTGTCTTCCGCGGACGGGGTACCCGAGAGAGCAAGATCCGCGTCGATCGGTGGTCGCTATCGCGCACGCGAGGATGCTCACCGGGACGCGTGGTGCCCTCTAGTCTAATGCCATCGGTATTACCGCGTCGTATCCTAAAGGTCGCGGGGGAGGGCGGGGGGGGGGTGGGGGGAGGGCAGTAGGGAGAAGGACTGCTGCGAAGTTCTCCGGAGCACGCGAAACCAACGCCGAGAGGCACGGGCAAGGCAAGGCAAGGCAAGGCAAGGCAAAGGGAGAGCGTTGCCTGCCGAGCGGCATAGAAGGTCTGTGACCTCGGCAATGGCTGAGCCGCGGCGTACGCCGTTCCGGCGTGTACCCGGCGTATCGTGTGTTTACCGTTTCAGAGATGATGTCACGTACCGTCCCACCACGACGGGAGGGGGGGGGGGGGGGATCCGCGAAATGGTCGAAACCGCGTCTTTCCAAACGGCATAGCACGCGTCCCCTCGCCTGTCGGACCGCGTCTCCGACAGAGAGAGAGAGAGAGAGAGGGATGGCGCATCGATACGCGCGTCGCGGCCTCCCGGCCGCCGGCCTTTCGCCGCCACCCGGTATACCCGCGCGCGGCGCACCGGTGTATCTCCCCGGTGTACCGTTTCGGAGCTGATGTCACTGGCACCAACGAGAGGCCCTTAGCAGCTCGTCGCGAACGGCAGCCTCTCGCCACCGTAGAACTGCCACCGATCTCGCTTATCGCGCCGCGCGTCTTTCAGTCGATACGCCCGCTTATCGGCCCATCGCGCTGTCCCTCTCTCTCTCTGTCTCTCCCTCTTCTTCCCTCGCGTCGCGCTGTCATCCCGTCGCGCGCCATCCGGTATACCGCGTGAGAATCGAGAGAGGCGAGCGTTAATGGCGCGTAGTAAGCCGAGCCGCGCAAAATTGAGGGAAGCGATCGACTGCGGCGCGGCGCGGCGCGGTTTCCGAGATCGTGCCTTAAGTGCAGTCGTTAAAGTCACTCGTAAATATTCATGCGCTCATTAGCTAGACCGAACGGCCCGGTGACGTGCTATCGCGCGAATGCGTACTTAAAGGAATTATTTTCGCCGTAGTCCGACGACTTATTAATCCGGAATGCCTCGAAGGGGCCCGTCCTCCGCCGCGGCGCGTTAACGAGCTCGTCATTGTCCTCTCTCTCGCTCGGTACGGGCCGTTACGTTGGAAAAAACGTTGGCGTCGCGTGCGGGACGCTCGCCGGGATGGCGATCGCGGGACCGTTAACGGGCGATTAGCCACGACCGGACACACTCGTCGGGCTCTGGCATCGGCATCCCCGAATCCGCGAGTTCCGCGAGTCGACGACGTATACATATACACGGCAAGCGCCGAGAGATCGATTTTCACCGCGCATCGCTAGACGCGTCTCCCTAAATAAAACGTCGCGAGACCCGACGACGTCCAATTTAATGTCCGCTCCGGAGCAGCAGTGTTTCGATTTACCGTCGGCGCTTGATTTGCCGAGAATGCGATCGAATGATTAAAAGCTCGCGCGCGCCGCCCCGTTTGGAAATGTGCTCCGCGTCCACGAGCGGGGGGCCGATCGTCGTTCCCTCCGGGTAATCGGCAGCCGAGCAGAGGGCGATTACACGCAGGCGAGGATACGCCGCAGCCGCGCGAAACAGCGAGAGACGCCGGTTCCGCGTTTGCGTGGCCGTCCTTCGCGCTCGAACACGCGATCATCGCGGACCGCGTGGGCTTGTGTTCCTCGCGCTCTCGCCTCGCGATCAATACCACGTGATCGTACCGCCGTGACCGGCGCGGCGCGGCGCGGCGCGGCGCAGCGCGGCGCCTCCGCTGCCGGCCGGCCGATGTAAACAAAGAAACGTGCGCGCGGCGCGGCCGCCGCGCCGCGCGGCATCGATTTTCCTCTCCGGCGGCTCTCTCGGCTTGGCGTGACTCCGACGCAGGGCCGTCTTAAGACGTTCGGGACTCTTAACGGAGCAGCGACGCGACGTCTCGCCTGCGATCACGCGCGAGAGACAACCCGGCGAGAAATGATTTGCCGATCGCCTCGACGTAACGTTTCGACATCGATCGACGAGTCATTCCCCTCGCCGGGACGAATGCCTCCGTTCTCAATGGGAATTGAGGCGCGGAGGGGGGTAAATAAATACGGGGGATGGCACGGAGGTGTTTGTAATTAACTCCACGGCATATTGACGTTGTAAATTGAGATGAACGGGAGTGTTTGTTTTAATAAGCGGGCCGCGTTGACGAGGGGCGCTAAAGTTTCGCGACTTTAATAAACACGAAACAAAGGAAATAATTGTTTCTAGTATGAATCGCCGAAGAACGTGACGGGTGGCATTTCAGAGACGGCGGGTAATTCCAATTGGAAAAGTTGCCCGTTCGGCTCGGTACGGTTGAAACAGTCCCGTGTCGCCCCAGCGTCAACAGTCCGCGCGCGAACTGCGGATATCGCGCGGTATTGTCGATCGGTGCACCACGTGAACGATGTATGCAGGACGGAATGTCTGCCGAGATGAATCGCATTCGCCCCGTTACCCCTTTCCCTTTCGCCAAGTTCTCGCGAGGACCGGTCGAGCTCCAATCGGAGCCCCGTCGTCGCGCTCATTACCGCTCGTGTCGATGATCATTAACCGGCTGTCATTTTTCTTGTTTTCAGGCGAACGCGGCAGTGGTGTTCAAGTGCACTTGGCCGGGCTGCCTGGAAATCAAAGCGACCGTCGCGCTTATTGAGGAACATGTGCGCCAGTCACATCTGGGGTAAGTTTGTACCCCCGAAGATGCAATACGTGCCGCGTGCCTCGCGCGTAAGCGCCTGAGCGGAAAGATTGTCGTAAAGCCCGTATCACTACGGATTGGGATTGGGATTAGATTGAAATTTGACCAATCGGAGTAAAAGTTACTGAACTTGAGATTAGTAAACTTTACTGTGATTGGTTAAATTTCAATCTAATCCCAATCCCAATCCGTAGTCTGATACGGGCTTAAGACTTGTCGTAGACGTATGTCGCATTCGCGCATCCCAAGGCGACTATTCTTTGTGCGTTGACTGCCGGCACCGACTCGAGTCTTACGACAGAATCGTAAACGGTTACGTCGATCTTCCTACTGTTACATTTGTCGTACAACTTTTTCAAGTGCGTTGATGGCCACGAGATAGAAAATTTCTAAATACTCAAGAACTTTTCTGTCCTGCCTTGGCGCAGTGTTACATTTGTCGTGCGACAAAGTTTTTATTTTGTTGACTGGCTAGGTAGAAAATTTCTAGACGACACTCCAGGACTTTTCTATCCCGCAGCCTATCAAGACGCCTGAAAAGTTTGTCGTACGACAAACGTAATAGTACCCTCAAGTCTGTCTTAGTCGTAGACGTAAGGCAAGGCAGAGAAAAGCTTAAGCCGTGAAAGTCTGTTGTACACGACTTAAGTTTTTCTCCCCCTTGTCTTACGTCTACGGCTAAAGCAGACTTAAGCGTTTGCGGATCGTTCTCTGCCATCAGCCTAAGACGCGTTAGCAGGCCGGGACACGCGCGCGAAATCGAGCTGACGTCACATATTTTCTCGAGAACCAGAGCGCTGACAATCGGTGCCGTTGTGACGTCGCCACTAATCCGCACTCTCGAGCGTGCATCTCTTTCGAGAGAAAGAGGCGGCTTATAAAGTCATTACCTTGCGTCGCAACGCGCCATTTTTGTATCGGGGGCTGTTGATGACGAAAACGATCGTATCTATCTGCACAAAGTCCACGCGTTTGCATAACACGAGAGACGTCAGTAATTTCCACGGTTCTCCTCTCTTCTCGCGACGGTTGCTTCCTCCTCCGTCGACAATTTTCCTCGTCCACGAATGAATCAATAAAATGCAACAACAATGATGATTTTATCGTACATAACATACTGCACGTAAAAGAGCAAGGATATAATAGAAAGTTTTTTTTTACGTCAGCATAGGCAGATCAGCAGTGACACGAGTTTTTAAATTGAACCTTTATGATACCAGGGTTATAGATTAGGATTATTTGTATGCATAAAGTAAAATCTTTAAGACAAAAATTTTGAGGAAAAGAATGATATTAATAATAAAAATATAGATGCCATTGATAAAAATAAATGTTAGTATGCTTGATGCTGAGAAACAATAATACTGTACATATGTTTATTCAAATGTATGTAAAGATACACGTGCACTCACACGTATTGTCACAACTCGCACTTTTTATACAATATTATAAATCTACAAATTATACGTGGATAGAAATACACAAGCAGTGAAAAAGTAAATAACATAAACAGAGTAAATATATTAATACATAAATTAGTACATGTATAAACCGAAGTGAAAAACGATAGAGAAGCAACTGATTCGAAGAGCACGAGTCTGAGGTGAAAGACCGAATATCTTAGCAAGTAATGAATTAAAAAACACTTTACCGTGAGAGAAAGAAAAGAACTTTCGTCGCGCGATGCAGAGGATAGAAAAGCGAAGACTGAAAGGAAACTGAGGCCGCTTTTGTTTTGCAGTCCAAAGAAGTCCAAGGGATGCGACAGCGAGGACGACATGTCCGTTCACGAGGAGGAGTTCTATTATCAGGAAGTTGCTGTGGATCACATGAGCTCACCTCCCACGATGTCTCACCGGGACATGGCGAGACCGCCGCACGAGGATCCGGAATATCAGAAGCAGCTTCGTCTCGAGGCGACTCCTGCCGCGACTAACTACATCGAGAACGTAATGGCCGGTGTCAGGGAACCGAGCAACGCGTTTACGATCTCGCAATCGCCGGTAGGTAGTCGCGAAGGTTCAGGCTGTAAAGCTGGCTACCGGTCGGCTGCGAAATACGGTCCGACTAAAATTGTCCCCTTGTGCGTTTCAGGGTACACCGAATAAACACATCAAACTGTCCCCACGGCCATTGCAGGCGTGTCATCAACAGAACATGACAGCGTCCACGGGCAAGCCGTCCTCCCCGCGGCGAACTCGCAGCGATGTTAAGAAGTGTCGCAAGATCTACGGTATGGATTCACGCGACCAGTGGTGCACTCAGTGCAGGTGGAAGAAGGCCTGCACCCGTTTCTGCAGCGAATAGGCCAAGCGTCCGCCCCGTTCGTACGTCCGTGGGCGGAAACCCTTGTCAAGTCGACCCCAGAGTTTGCCAATGCTACGTTGAACGTTAACACCAACTGCCAAATGCCAATCATCGTCGAAGACGCGACGTCGAGAAAACCAGTGCTCCCGCATACGAAGCACAGGACGCGAGACCGCCAACTATCGTCGGTCGTAGCGAAAAGTATTACCCTACGAATTAATTCCAGCACGGGGTACATCGAAACCTCTCGCGACAACAAGTAAAATGCAAAGCTCGTAAAAGCAGCATCTCTTCCTCTTCTCTCTGTTTCCCGTCGTCGAGACGGGCATGCACGAGTTTCGAAGAGAAACATCCACTATTACGATTGGCGGGTAGCTCTATAGGGCCGATATTCGTGCATGATATAACATCTTTTTAGTGCTCATAGAGGAAGTTAACGACGTAAGATTTATCTGAACGATTTCCGCCCGTTCGTGTTTTGCACTTGGCAAACTCCGACCGGGTCCCTTAGCCGTAACGAGGGACTTTTCGATTAATAGATAGCAAATAATTGGCGTGCGGAGCGAAGCGACACCTCAGACTGTTGCATTCTCTCGCTCCCAACTCGTCTGACAAAGAGAACCTTTTGGTTCGGTACGAATGAGATACGCACTCGCACTCGGAACGAGCATGCATGTCCTTCGAAGTGCTGATTCCCGAACCGTCTCTTAGGTCATTGCAATAGATCTTCCTTCTTCCGCCAAGAGTGCGAACGTTAATGCGCTCTCGGTAATGATGGAACTAAAAGACGTTAGATCGATCCTCAGGGACGCCGTCCGGCCGATCCCTGAGGAACAAGCGACCGAATCTAACGTACAAAGGGAAGACCAGTGGAATCGATTCCCGGTCTGACCGATGTTCAATGCTAAACGGACGCGGACAAACAAGATTGGTAAGTCTCGCGTGGAACAGAGCTGCTAATTGTGATATTGTATCTAAATTTATTGGATCTGCCGCGAATCGAGCAGGAGAGCGCAAAGGCGTGTAAAGAAATGAGAGAAGGAAAGACAAAAAAAAGAGGAAACCAAAATTTTATACACCAATTATACTGCCAGATAAATAATTCAAAAAAAAATTGTTGTTCAAGCCTCTCTCTCGCGCGTTAAAGAGGCACTATGTGTTGCACGGCACGCGTCGCCGTACATCGGGCTTAGCCTTGTTAGCCTTCTGACGACCTAAGACCGTGTTCGCCACAAAGGAGCTGCACGCGCGTATTGGGGTAGGGCTACGCAGTTGAATCGATCGATCTAACATTTAATGAAGGTTTCGCTCCAGATTATACACACATACGCACTCATTACACACACGTGTACACTTACATGTACATCGCGAGCGCGAAAAATGATGACATCACACACAATTTGTATAGTCTAATCTACGTCATTTCTTATACTCCTTTCTCGCTTCGGGTCGTTCGCGGGACGATTTATCCACTCGAATCGATTATTTCGAAATACGTTTGATCTCGATAATTTTTCTAATGTAGCGATATAACGAATGGACACTTGCAAATTTTATACGCTAGTAAACGCCGTGTCCTAAGAGGATCAACGTTAATGACTCCTGATCTTTCATCGTTATCAACTGAATTATGTCGGAGGCAAACGAGTTTTACTTGAAATCATACCAACATTCTCTATATAATAAAATACATTTTTTTAGACACAGATTTTATACATTCGGTAAAATAAATTTATAAATATTATTATATACTCTTTTGTACATACTTATATACATATTTATATATATATTTATATAAACATATATGTTATTTACAAATTTATTTTAACCATTCTTAATTGGTCGAGATATTTAACTCTCTATCAAATCTATAGATCGAAAAAGGACTATGAACCAATATGCTATAGATTTGAGGTTTGCGAGAAAAATTAATTTTTATCTCTAATACACCCAACTCTCTTTATACGCGGTTTCTTTTTTGCGTGACTCGTATTTACGCGGTTTTCCCAAAAAACGTGAAAAATTTTGGAAAACAATTTGTAATCTCTCTCTGTACATACATATTGCTGAAGATTTTTCGGTCGAATATGTTTAAAAAATGACCACCCAGTATACTTTTCCATCATTCTTATAGCTCAAATCACATTTCTACAACTCGGTCGTCACTGTTAATCACGATTCGATCATGATCATTCATGGTATTGTTCAGCCTTATTTTTTTGAAAGTAACAATTCGTCACGGAAACAGCTTTCAATAAAAAAAACAACGTACCCACGATTTTTACAAAGTTGAATCAAACAACGCGATTTTTTATTACACGGAACTACCGCGTAAAAAGAGAGTTTGAGACACCAAAAAAAAATTTACGTAATTTTACATTTTTAACGTAATCCGGTACGGCTGCCGTGAGGGATCAGGAGCATTAAAGTTTTTAATGCAATAAATGACAAAAGTATTTCATATTCGACGGAAGAAAATCGGCGAGACGTCGCAATGTATACGATACTAAATATAGTGAAGAATACATTAACGAGCGACACTCGCCACTAAATGTTTCTTCCAATTTCCCGATCGTTGTTCGTACGTTAGTACAATTATCTTGTACATTTAGTATAATTATATCCTTGTATATTACGTCTTGTATATTACGTGTATTATCTTGTATAGCCCCTCGTTTTTTTTATAATTATTGAACTTAATGTATTAAGAATTAGTATATCGCTGTTGTTCATTAATAATCACGACACGGGGTTTAGATTTTATTAGCATAATAAGTGTCAGTTCTGTTGACGAATTGCTCTAATTTTGGAACCAACTCAATGATTCGAGAGTATAACTCGGAAAGTGATGAATAATTCATGTAGAAAGGTATCGGATTGCCTTTGTGTTCAAAACCACCGCGTTGTCAGTATTTCCTGACTTTTTATCAATTTGATCGTGCCCGTACTTTCCACAGGGAAAACTCGCGGTACTTGTAAAAATTGCCGATCGCAGCGATCGCTGTTTTAACGCAATGTTGTCGTCGCACAGAAAAGATTCGTTTCTTCCCGCGTAAATTTTACGACAAACCGCGCCCGTGCGCTACAAGGCACTACGGCTGATATTGTATATCGAATTACGTCTGTCGAAACTTGTCGCGTCTTATGAATTTATGAGGCAACAGCATTATCACGGTGTTCATACGGGAGTCGAGGTGCTGTTGAGACCCTGGTCATAGTCAATTTTTTATATCGTGTTCACAATCACGCGGAGGATCGTTGTAAACTACTTGCAAAACACAGCATCATGCAATTATTACAGATAGCATAGAAAGTAATTGCCGTCCATGTAGGTTCCTTACTGCTATCAAAATTGTTACGCTCGATTATATAGACACAATTTACCGAGGACAATACGCAAACGGAAACTGCTAAGGAGTGATATTATTACTTAATACTTAATTATTAACATGACCTTTCTGCCGTCATTTTATTCTATGCGATCTGTACATATAACGTTAAACAGTGCGGCGGTAACATTGGCACTTGTAATATCGAAGAGAAATTGTTTCTAAAACCGTACAAGGCTTTCATCGTAGAGCATTTTTTTTAAAAACATTATTTTTTAAGAATCGACAAGTTCCGCGTATAATATTCGTTAGAATATTTTGTAACGAGTCTAAATCCTTGTTGTTTACCGGGCTTACATTTTCGAACGTATGCAGTTAGTGGCAAGTATGGCTTCGTGTCTGACGTCGTTGGACATTTCTGAGCTGAATACATCGGTGCATTACGATTGAGGGGGTGTGTTCGATAGCTGTCCGACGCATGCACGAGCTGCGATGACGAAAGATAAATAACCGATTATCAAATCTCGAAACCGAGTTATCGAACAACGGATACTATTAAATGAACGATATTCAATTGACAGCAATAGCTTTGAATTTTTCTCGGTCCACGGAACAGTCACGACGCGCGAATATCCAAACGCAATTCGTTCGGCGCGAAGACACACGCGACGCTGAATGTACCACGTCGGGCGAACGTCGAGAAAGCGGGAATCAATCGTTGGCTCGTGTTACATTTCGCGGTGGTAATAGTCCAACCCCCTCAGCTGATCGTTTAAGCTTCCGACTCCGTTAACGCGGGCGCGATGCGAATTCGCCACGCGAGATCGTGTCCGTCGTCGCGAGCGCACGACACACAAACACACACGCGCGCGCGCGCGCGAGCAATAAATTTCCGACGGTCTCTCAGAAATTCAGTATGATTTATTGTCGGTCCCATTCTGCACGGTGACACGGAACGACAGACCCGCGTGCTAGGATCGAGTGTCGCTCGACAGGAGTATCGCGCTGGAGAGAATTTTGGCGGACGCACCTATACCCGCGGCATGGCACTTCGCGAGTGTAAACAAGTACAAGTTTGTCAACCTGTGCCATTACGTATGCCAAATATTCTCGAGTCCTGCCCTCGCCCTCGCGCGAAGGGCAAGCGAGAGAGGAAGAGGCGGAGCGACGACGCGTGGCAAGGGAGGGTGGGGGGAGGAAAAACGTTTCACAGACATTCGTAACGAAAGCTTTACAGACTTAAAGATACCTCAGGTTTATTTCGTACGATCGTACAGCTATACACACCTCGTCGTCCCGTTCGAAGCGACCGACCGGTCGACACACGTTTCTCTTTCTCTCTTTTCTTTCTTTTTTTTTCTTTTCTTTTCCGCACGAGATCCGGCGATTCCGCCGTCCATCCGTCGCTTCGCCCCGGACGACCGACTGACGAACACCGAACGTTACAAAGTATAATATGTATCTCTTTCGCGACGTTAACGTCAATATTTACTTAGTCAAAGCCTCCCGTCGCGACGAGCCGTCGCGACGACTCGGGACACCGTGTAATATAACATTAGCGAAAAAGGAAAAGGAACACACCGCGGAGTTTAATCGGCGGCCCGAGGACGGCCCCCGAGAACCGCGAGTCGCCGGCGGTCGCATCCGCCGCGCAGCCTAAACCAGATGACTTCCCCGTCGGCGACGCGAGCCCCCCGTACGTCGCCCGAGGCTGCTCGACCGCGTCGCTCGAGACGAGGATTTGTCGCCGATCGATCGACGCGTTTAGCGCTCGCTTTGGCACAACCGAGCGCGTAACCGGGTCTGATCTACAGCGCGCTCTTCGCGGTCTAAGAAACGTTCTATCTTGCAGCCGATAAATACACTTGAAAAATTTTTGCGAGCTGACAAATTGTACACCGTACGAGCGTACACTGTCGATCAAGTTTTTAAGCGTATCGGCTTGCTTGTGCGAGGTAGAATGTTTCTAATCGCAGAAAAAGACACGTTGTAGATTAGATTTAAAAGCGCATTTCTTTCTCCTTCTCTCCCTCTCTCTCTCTCTCTTTTTCTCAAAGCCAGCTGCTGGCATTACGTAATCGCGGTAATCGCAAATTCCCCGACTCAATCAGATCAGGATCGGGGCCTTCGATCGATTCGACGGGCGGGCCAGTCGTTTACGCGAGCGATCGTGCGACCGCGACAGGGGGGGGGGGAGGAAAAAGGGGGCTATATCCCGTTATACGGGGGAGGAGAGAGACCCCGGCGGTGCACGACACGGTCGCCTCGGTTTGATTACCGATACACGAGCTCTGTCCAGCACATTCGCCGAGATACCGATTGAAGGATTGCGTTGCGGGTTTAGAGAAGCTGAAAAGTCGCCGGGATTATCATACCAAAACGGATCTCATATCGATTTAATGAAGTGTAATTTTTTTTTTTCTTTCTTTTCACACGGTATGTACGGCCGAGCCCCGTTTTGCCGAACGGCAGCGTCGCCGTACGTCAGATTGTATCGTGAAGAAAATTGTTAGTGACGCGAACGGTAGAATCTGCTGTACGCGACCGTGCGGAAAGGGGGGGGGGGTGGGAGGTCGGAGAAAGAGGGGGGGGGCGCAGAGGTGGCTTTTCGAGAGATCGTAGGCTCAACAGGCTTCTTAGGCTATTTGCGCTCGGCCGGCCGTACAGCGCGCGAAGACATATTATTATTAATATTATATATTATATTATATATTATATATTATATATTATATGATTATTATTATTATTAATTTTTATTAATTATTATTAATAATTATTACTGCATTCGTCGTCGTCGTCGTCGTCATCTTCTTAACCCTTAACACAAATGTTTAGCGTCACTCACAGTACGTTAAGTAATTGTTAAAGATCGCGAAATCTTTATTAATATTACGTTAGGTGGACTGTTAATATAACGCCCCGCGTTAAGAGGGTACTTTCAGGACGGGACGCGCGTTCGGAGTGATCTATTATAGAAACATCGAGCAGACCATGAGAGAGATCGGAACAGTCTCGCAAGACGTGCGACCAGCGACCCTATTTCATCCTTACATCCGTATAATCGCTGCAAGGAAGCTTCTATTTATCGATAATGCGTAATAATTATAACGCTGCGGTTATGTCGCATTACAACCCGACACTCATTCTAACGTATAATAACGACTGAGACATTACGGCGCAACCCGTCAATTGCGCCCGAGTGTACAAACACTTTATTCGTTTGAGGCAACGTAATAAAGGTATCTCTAAACAAAACCGTACAAGTTATTGATTCATCTCATCCGTATGCACGCGCGTCTTCTCTCTTTCTCGCGGGGCGCGCGCCTCGCGGACGCGATCAATGCTCGACGACACACGGATCTCCCGTGTGAAAATTGTGATCGACGTAACGCGCGCGACTTACACGTGCGCCGCGGACTTAACTGTCATTCCTGTCCCCTGGAGAACCCGTTTTATTCATTCGCGCTCGTAAATACGTTCGGTTCGTTTCAGGATGCCATTACATTTGTCATACGACAAAGTTTGTAAGCGCTGATCGGCTGCGGATAGAAAATTTCCAGATGCACTCGAGGACCCCATCTATCCTTCGACACGCTCGGAAAATTTGTCGTACGGCAAATGTTTTTTGTTGATTCGCTACCGGATAGAAAATTTCTAGATGCACTCGAGGGCTTTTCTACCCTGCGGCTAATCGATACGCTCGAAAAAATTTTCAAGTGCGTTGATTGGCTACAAGATAGAAAATTTCGAAATACTCTCTCAAGAACTTTTCTATCCTGCCTTAGTGCAGTATTACATTTGCCGTACGACGAATTTTTTATTTTGCTGATTGGCTACTGGATAGAAACTTTCTAGATACACGAGGACTTTCCTATCCTGCAGCCAGTCAATAATACGCTTTAAAGATTTGTCGTACGACAAATGTGACGCCAGTCTGAAGCCCGTATCAGACTACGGACTGATTGAGATTAGACTGCAATTTGGCCAATTAGAGTAAAATTCACTAAGCTTGAGTAAACTTTACTCAAATTTCC